GGGTTGGGTTGGGGGGGGGGGGGTGCTTCAGGGTCATGCCTCTTGTAATTACAGCAGTCAGGTTCAAGTCACTAGTCAAGATGTTGCTGATTTTTTTTTTCTTTCTTTCCCATAATGCAACATTGGCCTACATGTGGCACAGCATGCCCCCTCTGATGCCCCTGTTGTGATTAGGTGTCCTGTCTTCCTCCGGGGGAAGCGCAGAGATGGCCGGGAAACTCACCGAGAGGTCCATTAAATGGCAGCTTTGTTATGATGTGTCGGCGAGGACGTGGTGGATGGTAAGTGGAGCTCCTTTTTTTAACGTCTTCTACTGAAAAAAAAAAAAAAAAATCTTTAAGAACATCACTATCAAACAAACTCAACTTCAAAAACACAAACAGGTCCTCATCTTATGTGTCGTGAATTGTATGATGCCACTTTTGCCAAACTTTTTACATTGTTGAGGAAAGTGTATGTCCCTGAAAACCCAAGTGTAGCCTTCAACTGCAGCACTGCCTGACTCTCTTAAATTCATATTCTCCTTTTGTTTCTATGAAACCATCATTTTGTGTTGCTTTTGATGTTCTGTCTTTATGATTCTGTTTATTATGGAAAAGGTTGTTGACTCCAGCACTTACCTGACAGTGTTGCATATTCTGGTCGCTTCTTATCTGACTAGTGCCTTTTTAAAAATATATTTTTCATCTTCTACTCAAGAAGAATTTTTAAGAGCATCTTTGGCACTCATTTCTGAATGATTGTTTACTTCAAGGCTTAAGGTTCTCAATGTGCTCATTGTCCTGATTTAAAACCCAATATGACAGATAAGTATGAAGTCTGGGTGTGAAAGAAATCAAAAGTGGCTTTTGAAAGATAATGTTTTTTGTAGCGTTGTATATTACACTCAAGTAAGTGTGTTTCTCAAGTGCACCTCCCCGTGCGTACCCTCTGCAGTGTTAATTTGATATTGTCAGACAAAGAGCCCTTGTCCAGCCCGCGCCTTTCCCATGCAGAAGAGGCAATGCAGGCTGACATTTCTCTCTGAATATTTATATACTTCTCTGACTACAGGCAAACTTTTATTGTGAGCCGTCGCCAGGGTTTAAGCTGAGGTTTGTTTGTCTGTCAATGCAGATCAACTGAGAGGACTGACCTTCTCTACTAAGGCCATGCTGCTTGTGTTGTGATAACAATCTATGACAGCGTATAAGCATGACAAAAATGTCTGAATAAAAAATCATTTTAAAAAAAGAACAATAAAAATGATCTTGCACTTGCTGCATGTGGATCTGTTGCTGTGCAAGATCTGTCTTCAAATATCTAAACAGCAAGCAAGAATTGCAGAAAGTTCACCGAGAGAATCATTGCCTTTACATCTGACGCACCATGCCGAGTTTAGGAAGGACACATTCCCAAGTTCAGCAGAAATGATTGTTAAAAAAGATGTTGTAACTGTTCCATTTAGTAAGTGTTATAACCACAGCAGATACATTGCATTTTAACAAAGCTGTATTAAAGGAAGACTTCAGGTCCAACTCTTCAATTTAAAAGTTCATAAAGAAAGAGACTATAATACCTCTGAGAATGGAGGCATGTGACGAGAAACTTAATCAAAGCGGGACAGAACATGACTTCAAGAAAAAGCATTAAGTTGAAAGTTTATGTTAAAGTTTAGATTTTTGGAGGATTTACTGGAGACCAGTTGAACGCCTGTCTTGTCATGAAACATTACTCAAGGCTGCTCAGAAAGAAAAAAAAATAGGATATGGTGTATAGGAAATGGGATTAGTAAAGCAAGTTTACAACATAAAGTACCAACAGTATTGTGTTTACAAACTAACCTTGAAGGAGATATTCAGCATTGTAAGGTCGTCTTTACAGTGAAGCTTATATAGATATTACATAAAAATATAGAGGAGCCATAAACTTGTATATTTTATTTATTTTTTCCCATGAGTTTATACTTTGGTTCAATTTGTGCCTTGAAATAGCTTAGTATAATACCTAAAGTAAAACTATCAAGGAGTATTTTCCAATGTTCTGCCAGTAATACCTGCATGTAATGCTGACATTAAGTTATTTTCTCCAGAATTTGACAAGCTATAATGTTTCTATGTTTTATTTATGTAATATGCTTTGGTTTCATTTATAAAGAAGTTAATACATTTTGACTCTTTTTTTTTTTTTTTGACTCTTAAATTACTTCTAATAACTTACTTAACTTCCAAAAAAAAAAAAAAAACAGTCCTTTCTATAAGAACAGAGCCTCACATTGCTCACGAATTCATCATTAATTTTCCAGTGAGTCCCAACACTCAACTACAAGTTGTGATTCTGGCCACAAGAGGGCGGTAGGTCCACGTTCAGAGGGATGAGTCTGTTAATGGCTCATGCCATGCGCACCCGTAGGACACATGATATTAAGCTGGACAAACTGAGGCAGAGAGAAATGTTCTAAATAAAATAAAAAACTGAACAATGTGATTGTATAGAAAACACTTCAAAGAGATTTGAATGTGCTTGAATTTCAATTCAGCACTGTTTTAAAGGGGTCTTAAATTGTATCTGACAGAATCTGGACAGTGATCACAAATCCTGCAAGAACTGAATGCTCTAAGATATATTATTTTTCAGAAGTGAATCACAAATGGGAATCACTGTGTGTTTGAAGTACAAACTTTGCCCTTAAGACAACACTGAACACTGTGTGAATACCATGATAACAGTGTTGAGAGAGCAATAAAGCCTTTTGGCACACAACCCATTCAGATCATTCAGTCACACTGTCACACTGTGATTATGCTGACATACAGTCCATTGAATGATTAATCAGGACAAGGATACCTTTTTTATAAAACAGCCTATTAGATAACTACACTGCAAAATGCACCATCACTACTGCAGTACTAACACCCAGCCTTTAAATACACTCTCGCGATCCTTTCTAGTTTACGGTTATTATTCTATTACTGTACAGTAGTACATGTGTCAATGCTTTCAATGCTCCTTTGGTTGATCAGATTGTATCGATTTAAGTTAACTTTAATAGTCTTAGAATCTAAGTGTAAGATTAAAATAATGCGTTGAAATAGTAAACTGTTCATGGTATTTAAAAATCACAATAATTAACAAAACATGCCATATTTTCTACCTTTACTATAGGCTTATGAGAAATCTTAACATGTTTTGTAACTTCATAAATACTCAGTGTCACTGCTAGGTGTATGTACAAAATATTATTATTGTTATTATTATTATTGGGCTATTATTTCCACTATTTGCAGTTATAAACCAGTAATTACAGCAGTGTCGTGATTTCCACCATCAGTCATTGGCTGCATCGTTTTACAAGCCGGCTGTCCAGCAGCGGCTCTGTCAAGCCCCAAACAGCACGTCAGAGGAGCGGAAGTGAGGGGCCCAGGGTCGAGAGTCCCGGGGCCACTGATTCTAGCCAATGGGAGTCAAGATATGCACACACTATTACAAAACTGAGCTCTGTAAAGCTACAGAAAGCAGCTGGATTATCATCAGTAAATCTGAGGTTCAGCTTTCAAAATAAGAAGTCCAATTTGACAAGTTATGGGGGTATAAAGAAAAAGCATTCTGGGGTTATTGAAGGCGAAATTTGACAACAAATAAAACCCTTATAACTGTCAAAAATGAACAGTAGCAGCTATATTAAAACACAGCATTAAAAAAACACAATTGAATAGAAACCTCTGCATATCTACTTTCCCCTTCTTTCTTTTTAGTTTTTAAACTGAATGGCTTTGCTTTTGCAGGTACATCATGTTAATGAGGAGGACTTATCAAAATCCAGTTCAGGTCACTAAAATGTGTCCTTTCATAAAAAAAAAAAAGAGCTGTTAATTATTTCATAATAAAGCAATTTTTCTAAACAATGCTTTGCTTTCTTTTAACTGAACTTTGCAAAACATATATTAATTAACCATCACTAATACATATTTAATATGTTAATTGGTTTTCCATCACAGTAATGTTTTATTAGGCCTGTAAACTGAAGAAAAATAAGAAGCTCACTGTAAAGTAGTGTTTTATTTGGAAACGTGGAACCGGAAGTTGTGTTGCTCAAAGTATATCAGACTTGATAGTTACTGCTGTGAGCCGGAGGGCGGCAGTCAGTCAGACAGTGAAAGTGAAGGCGGAGACCAACCCAGTGCCGAAAACTCAGCCTCTTCTGGATCACGTTCAACTCCACTGAACAACCCCAAAAAACCCGATCCAAAAAAAAAAAAAGTAAGACGTGAAGAGGAAGAAAGACAAGAAAGAAAAAAAAAACGCGACGTGCTCCAAACTTCTGTTCACCGCTATCTCAAAGAATTGTCTTCCGGTGTTGACTTTTTTTTTTTTTTTGCTTTTTTTTGCGAGCGGTGCAAGAGAGAAAAAAAAAAAAAAGCCCCTCCAAAGCACAAAGTTGAACGTGAGAAATGTGAAGCTACCGGCTTGTGTGTTTCAACCAGGCTCCAGGACTCTGTGTTAATCCATGCAGTACAGTGCAATGGTACGTGAACGTGGATTATTATTCATTTCAAATGTTATGATAATACCATTTCTGATATTCATTTCATTTTGTATTTCTGTCCTGTTCTGGTGACGAGTGAGAAACGTGAAGTGGGTTCACTTTAACGCGGACCACAACACTGGGCACGGTCGGGCCAAAATTCTACTAAACTTGGCACGGGTTCTCCAGCAGCCTATGTTAAACTTCCCATTCCCCCCTTAATTTGGCAAATGAACTCTTATGTGGACTGTTGACAGCTCTGCGGGACACACAAACACACACCGCAAGCATAAAGAAACAATGTTTCACGTCCAGCACTTTCAGCATGTCAGATAATGTAAAGGCTTAGTCATGAGTGTTTATAACGCTGGAAAAAAATAATAAAAGTGTGTCAAGGTAGAGGTAGAGTTTTCCCAGCCCCTTTATTAATTTATTAAGATACAAATCCTCAACACAAACCTATTATTAAGATAGTTTTTCATGTAACCCACTTGGCCAACTCTGCAGTTTATTAATGTAATTAATTAAAACCAGCTGGGGGACTTCCAAAAACCCTTAATCAAAAAAAAAAAAAAATCTTTATCTCTCATCTCAGATCTTATCGTTATTTGAATTCTTATTTGAATTCTTGTTGGTATCTTGGCTTTAATGTGTGCGTAAAACGACAAAACGCTCCAAAGTGTGGGTCTAATGTGTGTGAAAATATGCGAACTGTAAAAGGGTGCCAGATCTGCGGAGGGAAATTCTCCTTCTCCGTGTTGGAATACACACCCGAGGCTCTGGTTCAAAGTCCCACGAAGTTAATAAAAAAAAAAAAAAAAAATCAGCTGGCTTGGAAGGGGGAAATGACTTTGTATGCTGTGTTTTCAGATATAGCCGGGGAGGAGAAGAAGGTGTTGGATTGTTGATAGGGGACAGTGAGTGTGTGTTGTGTGTGTGTGTGCATGCATGTGTGCATGTGTGTGTGAGAGTCAAGGAGGAGGAGGAGTGTGACTGTGTAATTACGTGGGTGAAAAAAAAAGAAAAAAAAAAAAAAGTTGGGTCTGATTTGCTGGAGTCGCGCAGGGACGAAGGTGCGCCGGTCGATTTCCTTATCAACTTTGGTGAAAGCTGGGGTGAACATCACACACTCAGCGACCCTCTGAAGCTTCCCACAATGCTTTTATGAACAAGATATCACAGCAGCGAGACGCGCAAAGAGCCCATGTTGCAGAGGAGTACGCAGCAGCAGCAGCAGCAGCAGCAGCAGCAGCCCTGTTCGCACCGGTTCTACGAGTAGACAATCTTGCAAATGCTTATCGGCATGTCAACTTAGAAAAAGAAAAGCAAAAAATCCGCTTATTCTCCCTTTTCTCTGCGGAGACGACAATCTTTGGATCGCAAATATTTGATGGATCTTCTTGGATAATCTGCTGTTGTTTTACGCGGAAAGCTGCTCCACAGTATTGCATGGTGCTCATCGGTCCAGGAATGGCGCGATAAAGTGAACAGAGGAATCAGTCCAAGTACATTCACTGTCTTTGTAGCCGTCTCGTCATGTATTCTCCGATTTGTCTTACTCAGGTATTTGTGTCTTTTTTTTTTTCCCCTCCCCATACATTTAATCGCTGTGATTAGAATATTTTTTGCATGAAATTGTAACATTGGTTGCATGGTTTGGGGATTTGAAGTTCTCTTCGTGCGTCTGAACTGTCCACTTTCAGATCCACTTTAAAATGATTTCATTATTCATATCAACGATAAGGTTTTGCTTTGTGACAGTTGATATAACCATGGAGCTATTCAGAATTTTAGTTTTAGTTTAAAACGCAAGGGCTTGTGTGTCAGATTTTTTTCTGTGATTATTACACCAGAATCTTAGATTTGAACAAAACTCGTAAAATTTTTAAAAACATTTTATAATTGTCTTGCAGTAACTGAAAAAAGTTGCATGTGCCAATCTTTACGCATTCTGTCTGCGTAAAGTTATGCGTAAAGATTATTTTTAAGATAGCACCAAGATTGTCAACGTACTGTATCGGTGCACGTATGCGCATTTTCTCTTAGTTTTAATTAAGTTATTTGCCTCCTCCGATAACCTCAAACGCACTTCCCAGCCTTGCTTGAGTTGTGCTTGTATTTTTTTCCCACGTGTTTATTTTGTATTTAAAGTAAAAACCCCTATTCTTCGTGGTTTCAAAGTTGGAACAAGATAAAGCCACTTTCACTCTAAGAAGATCAAACGCATGATAAGGTTGATTCAGTGGTTGGACAGAGTAGCTGACTGTTTTGGCTGACTCAGTTTTACTGTTTATATTTTACTTGGCATAAGTAAGTGATTGACTGAGACGTGGTTTAGTTTGTACTTAAGAGGATTGTGCTTTTATGGCCCCAGCTGAAGTGCACAGCATAGGCCTTGGCCAAGTCATTTATCTTTACAGCATTTGGCTTTAGCCTGCTTGCAAAAAATTAACAGAATATTTAAAGTGTTTTTGAAAAGGAAATCTGAGGTGAAAGGATTTTTAGAAACAGTTGCTGCCGTGCAAATGTACTAACATTTATTGCTGACTTTTGTCAGTTTAATTAGCTTCACTAAGTGAGGAGGTGACATTTAAATGAGCTCTAAATTATTATTTTTTACCTCTTAAAAAGAATACGGATCGGTTTAGTATTCATAGTAAAATAATTCACCTGAAAAATGTGGAGAGGACAAAAAGTTAATTCCTACTCTATAATAAATGATTACATTTTGACATCACTTCTCTGGAGCAGAGTTTTATTGGCCCGAAAGTGCCGACCAGAAATGTGGCTTCTCAGCGGCAGGCACAGATAGGGAGTGGATTTCTGTGGTTTCCTACAGCCCGCCTGCCCCGCTGCTTACAAAAAGCACAATATGTGGTTCAACTCTTCAGAAGCCCGCTCTAAAGGGGGCTGCTTATACTTATTCAATTTGACATTTTTAAGAGTTTAAACAAAAGATAAGTTAATGTTTCCATCCACTCGCTACTGCTGAAATTCATGATGAGTCCTAAATCTCTCCCCGTCCTGTACTTTCATTCCCCTACAGAGAATAAGCGTAAAAAAAAAGATTTATTCTATTTGCCTTTAGGCCCGTTAACTACCAAGTTGCTGATCACATTTTGGGATTAAGAATTTTGATTAAGGCTTCAGAAATTCATTTAAATTCTAAATTAAAAGTTTCCATTTTTGACTCTTTTATTCAGTGAATTTTTACGTTTTTGTTTTTCAAATACTATTGACAAAAGGATGCAACAACATAATCATGAACACAACAGATAAACCCAATGAAACATGAAATTAGTGTTGAAAATATTCCAGCTAATATTATTCTAAGTGTCTTGATAATTTATCATTTTTTCATTTTTCTCATTACAAAGTTATGGACATTTTGAAAAGTTGTCCAGGATTTTCCCATCACAAACATCCTCAGGTTTTTGGAATGAAGCTGGACGAGTTAACTTCAACACTTGACAGTGATTTGGCATGAACTGTGAATGGAGTCCTCACTCAACCTTTTCAAATACCTTTCAATCAGCTGCTGCGTTTAATAAGCCGTCATCCTGCTCTGCTTGTGTTCTTTTATGCATTTCGAACATTACGGCCTGTATGACAAGCTTCTTCTTTTTTTTTTTTTTTTTATACATGCTCGTAAAAATAACAATATCAACATCCTTTATTTCCTGACTTGGCCGTGAAGTTTATGTTTATCCGCCGTCATTTGTGAACATGGGATGAGCTGAAACTGGAATGCGGGCAGTTTGATAAGAGAAATGTAACTGTGTGGGACGCATGCCCCCTGTAGCAGCAAGCACAGGAGTCCCAGTCAGAGCACGCTCGAGAAAAGAGAGCAGAGACGCGAGTCCTTTCAGTCTCCACACTCGGTGCTATTGTAGTGCTGGTAGTTGTTATAAACAGTGGAATATCCCTTTCATACCTGCAGTACTCCCAGATGCATCTAGGATGGTAAAGCCAGTGTTGCAATGTGAAGAGAAACTTCTTGAATTTAAGCTGTTTGAAACTTCAAGCAAGATGTTGTGTGTCAGATTATGTGGATTTGTTTATTTGTGGTCTGACTTCCCTTCTGCCTCAGATTAGTAGCTGACTAAACTCATATTTCTTTTCCATGCTTGATGACAAAAAGCTTCTGCTTACAATCCTCTTTTTGCTCTCTCTTTTTTTCCTTTTCTCTGTGTCTCTGGACGCTCCAGGATGAATTTCATCCCTTCATAGAGGCGCTTCTTCCACACGTCCGTGCCATCGCCTACACATGGTTCAACCTCCAGGCCAGAAAACGCAAGTACTTCAAGAAGCACGAGAAGCGGATGTCCAAGGACGAGGAGCGCGCGGTGAAGGACGAGCTTTTGGGTGAGAAGCCCGAGGTGAAGCAGAAATGGGCATCCAGGCTGCTGGCCAAGCTGCGTAAGGACATTCGGCAGGAGTACCGGGAGGACTTTGTCCTCAGTGTGACGGGGAAGAAGCACCCGTGCTGCGTGCTCTCCAACCCGGACCAGAAGGGCAAGATCCGCCGGATCGACTGTTTGCGGCAGGCCGACAAAGTCTGGCGTCTGGACCTGGTGATGGTCATCCTCTTCAAAGGCATCCCTCTGGAAAGTACAGACGGCGAACGCCTCGTCAAGTCTCCACTTTGCGCCAACCCCGCACTTTGTGTCCAGCCTCACCATATTACAGTATCGGTCAAGGAGCTGGACTTGTTTCTAGCGTACTATGTCCAGGACCAAGGTAGGTTGAGCTCCTCTTTGTGTGTTTGTTACTCGTGTGTTTTGAGCTAACTCACATGTGTGAATGATGGCTTGGAGAGGTCAAGGGTCACATGTAATATTTTTTGGCAGTCTTTAGCGAGACTGGCTGAAATTACACTACATTCCACAGATAAAGAAACAAAAGAACAGCAATAATCTATTCAGTATATAAGCAGCATACATTTGTATCATAGATGGCTCATAACTAAACAAAAACACACGAAATGAAACAGAGGACACGTCTTATAAGTTCCTTCTGCTTTGCTACAGTCGAGCAGCAGCTTTTAATCATGTTCACTCATTATTCACTTACTGTTATTTGGACAAGGCTTTTTTTCTTCTCATACAAACTCAGCCACACAGGCTGTGCAACAACAACACACTGTGCAACTATCTATTTCTCTGGATATTTTGTAGTGGCATTTGTTGAAAGTTACCGACTGATTACATAAAAAATATACAGATTCTATCAGTAGTTACTCATACCAAGTTCCAGTAACACAGGAGCCCCTTATTGAATCCCGTATTCCTCAGGTTTATGTGTTAATACTCAGCTTATTTGTTAATTCTTGTCCTTACTTTATTGAGACTAAATCATGCCTTTTATCCCCTCCATTTATAATGTAGTAATTGTGTCAATTTTTGGTTTAAAAAAAAAAAAAAAAAGCTAATTTGACTGACATTTATATTTTGAGAATATATTTCCACTATTAAAAAAAGTTACACTTAAAAAAGGGTAACATTACTGTTTCACAGGCAATGCTGAAATGTAGGCGCATATTAAATAAATATTTTTGCAATACATTTAATATATTTTTATTAGTAAATATGAGATATGGTTTCTGTTATAAATCCTGCGTGATGTTTGATTGTTTTTGTGCTAAAATAGAAAACCTCGCCTCTGATTCTTTTGTCCTGAAAAGCTGGTTTCTTTATCATTGTGTAGTGTTTCAGTGAGGATCCAATCATTTCAACTCTGTTTTCAAAATGTTTTAGGGCCCCGTTTCAACACACCTCTTTGAATGGAATTTTTAAGCACATTTTCTTCCGGGAATTGTCTATTATTATTATTATTTTTTTTTTCTGTTATGGTAAAACCAAAAGGATGAGACAAACTGATGAGCACTGGGATTTAGGATCGTGTCCCAGACGAACAAATGAAGCCAAAACGTATCGCTGGAAGTTTGTTTTCACAATGCCGTTCTGCGGTTTCTGTCCTGTTTTCTTTACTGTGAAATGGCTGAAACACATTCAGATATTTCACCCCCCCCCCCCCCCCTTTCTGAAGACAGAATCATCACTTTCAAATCTGATATTATGTACTTACGTCAAGGAGAAGGAAACAGTAACAAAAACCAGACAAATGCACAAGTTGAATGTTCAAATTGATTAAAAAAAAGACTAATCAGTGCTAATTTGTGTTCTCATGTAGACACACATATCTTATTGTTTATGCAAAATTTTAGGCTCACACCTGTAAAAACTCTAAGTCATGTTTTTAGTGTCATTAGTGAAAGTCTATATTTGTAATTCAGTCATTCATGCCTGTCTCAGCTTTGATCCTCCTCCCTTTATCCGTTGAAACCATAGGAATCCCCCCGATAGTATTCCCTCTTGAAATTCCCCTGTATTAAATCTATTGCAGCAGCACCAAATACCCATCAATACTTTGCTACTGAGGGAGAAACGGTGCTATAGCTAGCTCATTATCATCAAACCCTGAGCGCCATTTTGTGTTTGATAAGTGCCAGGGACAGCAGAAGGCACAGCACACAGACAATAATGGTTGCCACTGGCATCGGGGTTGGCATCAGACCCCCTTTTGTGTCTTTTGTAGGATGCCACCGCTTCTCTAGTTTGCATCTGCTGCATTTTAACTGTTCAGCACCAAGTTGAAGAACGGCTCTTTAGTGCTTTTTTTTTTCCCCCCGTGATATTCACCATTTAGATGATAAGTTAGACTTTGAACCGTACATAATGGATGTTTTTTAACCCGCTTCTTAAAAAAAAAAAAAAAAAAAAAAAAAGTGTTGTAGTGAATGAGAAAATATTTGGCAAGAAGATGAATTTAGTGTTTGAAATACATTTGAACATAATGTTCTCTTCCTTATGAAAGTTGAATTCAGTTGAATTCCATTCGCAATGCGGATCAGAGCGATTATTAACCGTTGTCCTCAAGTTTCAGTGAGATGAAACTTTGGCAAAAACAAAATGGCATTCTTTCACCGGGATCACAGAGACTGCCATGCTTTCCCCCCCCCCCGCCACTACTGTTTTTGCAAGCTTAAGCATCTTTTTCTTTTCTTCAAGTAACCAAGCAGTGCCCGCTTGCAGACAATGCAGCCATATTGTGGTAGCGTGTGGTGCACCGCCATTTTGTTTCGCTCGGTGCCAGGGAGGCAGGCAAATCACCAGTAATGGTTGTTAGAGGTTTGGAGGTTGGCATCAAACCCTCTTTGTCTGCTTGCAGCATGCCTTTGATTCGTTGGTTGGCATCCGCAATGCAGTGGGCACGTTGGAAAGTTTTTTGACAGTGGCAGAATGGAAGCCGCTGCCTTTGTTCTGCTGCAACTGCACGAAACAAACAAACATACAATCGAACGCAAAGAAACTAGCAAACGATTCCCTCTTGCACAAAATCTGTTTTGTTTTTTTTGTACAAACTGCTGGAAAATATGGGTTCAGAATGTTCTTTTAATCGTTGTCCTGTCACCTGGCTTGTTTCTGCTGAGTGTGTAGTCAGACGACATGAAATATGTTGTTGCCATTTTTTTTTCCTGAACAGTAATTATGAAAAAAAAAATATTTTCTGTGGCAAAAATCCACAAGTTCAGAGTGTATTTGTTTTCAATTGTGGTGTGTCGCTGCCTGAGAAAGGTCGGCGGGTTGGCAGTGAGTGTGCAGGGTGAATTTAGAGAGGGCACTCAGCCCCCTTGTTCTGGGGCACAGACGCGTTTAGCCAGGCAGGGCTGTAGCACCCATGTGCATGCCCAGATGAATGCCCGCTGGGAAATAGGCTGGGAGGGGGGGGGGGGGAGTGCTGGGAGTGGGGGTTGTGGCATCCATTGTGCCAACTGGCAAGCCGTGTTCTATACAGGCCCCAGCTTCTCTCTCTCTCTCACTCTCTCCCGCTGTTGTTTTACTCCAATGTGCTGTTTTATCGTTATCTGATTAAACAAGGATTGCATCTCTATCTTTTTTTTTTTTTCTTTAAATCATTGCTTCTTCTCCCCTTCTGGATCCCTATTTTGCATATCCAGTTTGACAGCTTGACGGAATAGTTTGTAACAAGGCATGCAGATAATAGTCATGTTAGGACATGTTAGAGTACTCAAGGCCTCGTTTGTATTTGGTTTTGTTAAGCTGCTCATTACTATTGTATTCAGTGAAAGTTCTCATCTCTGCTTATGCATGTAGGTCTATTCATATATATAGATATATATATACGTAGATACAATTCTGCAGTAAATGGAAAGTTTAAAATAAATATTTTGAGATGATATTTGATCACGCTACAAAACCATCAAATTCTGAGAAACTTGTGTTTCTGAGAAAAATGTATGGAAATGATCTGTTTGAGATTTTCTTTTTTAATCCCTCACCTTTCTCTCCTATAATGATTTGTAACGAAAGTGTTTTTGAAAAGGAGTGTTCATAAAAATGAGAAGTTACTACAAAAGGTTTTGAGCATTGTGAAAGTTGTCAGTCGAGTTGCTTATAACCAACGACTGAGTGTAATTTGTCGGGGTAGTCAAGGTCAAGAAGCTTTCCCTTTATTCTGGTGCTGGAAGTTAACAGCCATAAAACATCATTACCTTGACTCCCCCCCCCCCACCCCTCAGTAACGCAGCCATCATAGCTTGTTCAAATGCATGGATTACCTCTGAATACATGCTGCCATGTTAATGGAGACCTTGTTTTACGAGCGCCTGACTTAACCTTTGCCCCGGGGTCGTGACCCTTGCTAAGGGATGTGGCAGGGTGTCCTCTGAAGTTTAATTGAGCAAAACAGATCAGTTAAAATGCGTCGTTTGCAGGGCCTGGGGCACGTGGAGGAGGAACACTTTTTGCCTGGGGGGGTTGTGGTCAGAAGGGGAGGCGGCAGCGCTCAACATAAGCCCCCCTTGTTGACCTCTTCAATCAGGGTCAAACTGCGGCAGTCTAAGGATCACTGGTGGTCTTTTGGCAACTGTTTGTCTCTACTCCCCCTCCACTGCTTCTGGTCTTGCTGGTGGTCCCTTGCTTCACTGGTCTAAGTGATGGGGAGTAGGTACCACTGACTCCCCCTTTCAAATCCCTCCATCCCTGCCTCAAGACCGGCCACGGCCTGCTCGCCATGCTGCGTTTGGTAGCTCTTTGCATCTTGTTTTACGCCTGGCTGCCTTCAAGGCTTTGGTCAGGCGGCCAGTGCGGAGGCCTGACCTTCTGGGTCACAGTGGAGGTCTGTGACTAAGCACAACATCCATCCCTCCCTCCTCTTCATCCCCTTATCCTCCTCTACCATCAGGAATCACCCCTGTGGCACACTGCCCAGCCAAATGACTCGCTCACTCCTTCTCTCTCCCAGTCTCTTGTCTTTTTCTCGGCCCTGGCTTTGCCTCAAGACCGGGACTCCAACCATGACAGCTGTCCCAGGCCCAGGCACTTGGCCAGAGAAGGGGTGGCTGGGTTCATGCCAGAAGTGCGAAACAAAAGTTGTTGCAAGCAGACAGCGTTAAGGACACTACTGCTTGTGTTCCTTTTTTTTTTTTTTTTGGGGGGGGTTTAATCAGATGCACATTCAGACGTCCAAGTTATTCAGCTCCTTTTCCTGCAGAAATTATTTTGGAAAAAGACTCAGGAGTGGTTGTTTTGTAAGTAGAGCGGGGGTTTATTTTTGGGCATGAATTTTAACAGTGAACAAAATCAGTTAGATCGTAAAATACAAATCCTGGGAAAAACCCTAACCGTTGACTCCAGAGCCATATAGAAAATCTCTTC